CACACACGCGCGCGCACACACACACACACACACGATGCGCAAAACTCTGCATAGCAAATACTTAAACTAATAACAAAACTGTAGCTGATTCAGAAGCGCCAGATTGTCATAGCAAAGTCAGAATTACCTCCTCTCCTAGGTTCACGAAACGGTCGTCCATAAAATGCATTGCTGTTCTGTTGTAAGTGATCTTAAAGATTCCTAAATGCATCTACTTTCGGAAGGCCAAATAAAGTGCTTTTGCTTTCGCCTAGAAACACACAGCGTCTCCCTGACTCAACACTAACAACACTAACTGCGGTTACTGAAACCACACCTTCTTTCTTTGCGTGCACATTTGGCATTATTCCACATAGTCCACATAGTGAGGTAGATATGTGGGGGCGTGTTAGAACGAGACGTTTTCATATTTAAAGAGTTTACCACTGATGGGTATAAGTCATTATAATCTGTAATTATGTCCCCACTGGATGCAAGAATTGCCTCGTTTATAATGGGTTTTAATGTTTTTGTCTCGTCGCTCCGGCCGGGACACGGCATCACAGTATGGTAAGGGGCGTAACATTTCCGTCACACGCTTGAGGTATTCGGCCAATCACAACGCACTGGATAGCTGGCCAATCACAGCACACCTCGCTTTTTCTGACCGATGAGCTTTGTAAAAATCGATGCGTTTCAGGAAGGCGGGGCATAGAGGAGAAACAATAATGTAGAGTATGTGGAAAATAATGTTGTTGTTTTTTTTTTTGTTTTTTTTTCATTACACCAAATACACAAAATAATGTTCTTTTTAGCAACATCATATGACCCCTTTAATAAATACTGCTTTTGGATCCTCAACCTGAAGTCTCTGAGCAGTTTGTAACAATGCCTCCTCAGATTTGATGGCAAGCTTTGGAAACAAAAATTTCCCCGATGAAAGTTATAACTGAAGCTGAAACGCATGTGCTTGATGCGTGAAAACAAAGATAATTGGTTCTCACATGTCAAGCAGATGTTTGAGCTTCCATACTGAATGTGCATAAGATAAAATTAAAATGCAAAAATGTAACAAGTGCATTTAAATTTTTGAAATAAATTTGTAAGGAGTAAAAAGTACTGTTTTTTTCTTCAGAAATGTAATCAAGTAAAAGTGCCAGTGAGTTTAAATTGTACTTGAATAAAGTACAAATACTCCAAAATAAAACTTAGGCCTAAGTATAGTAATCAAGAAAAATCACTCAAGTATTTTACACCCCAGACAGTGGGCTACCTTTTTAAGTTTACTTAGTCATAAGCAAATATTGACATTTGATATTTTTTTTGCAATATAAAATTGAGCACCATCGTGAATGTGCTTATATATATATATGTAAGTATATAAGTGTTGACTACTGTTTACGATTAATTAATATTTATAAGATTAATATTTTGTATATGGCATTAAATATTATTAAAACGTGTCTTGTTTTCATGATAGCTGTTTCAATGCTGACAAAGATAAATACTAACACTGGAGAACACATGAGATTGAGGTCTCTGGGTCTCTGGGTCTCTGCCGAGCAAAAGTGGGCGTTTCTGACGTTGTGGGTGTTTTCAAACTGATGGGTGCTTCTAAACGATGCAATGAAAATTATCCTCCTTACCTAATCCCACCCCTAAACCTACCGTGACTATGACGGGAGCCAATCAGGTAACATGATCAAAACGGATTCACAGTTTTTGTTTTACGTTTTTACTTTACCGACAACTCCTGTGGATGTCATTATGCACAGTATTACAAAATCTGTGATATATGGCTGTGTATCGATGTCACAAAACTTGGTTCATTATCTAACAGCAAAAAAAAAATTTTTTTTTTTTTCCCAGAACATTTTAAAATGAGGATTTGTAAGGGAACATCAGATAAGAGGTGAGTGCAGTTCTAATGCCAGGGGATTTACTGGAGATAACAGTAAATCAGTTGAGATCATGATCATGCTAAATAATTGAAAATTTAATTTTTGTGCTTGTGATATTTCATTCATTTCGTTTATGACAATTTATAACATAATTATTTATCTTTCTAACCTTGACAGTGGCCTTGTGGCAGTTATCTTTTTCTTGTTGGGAATGGGAACTCTGCTTCCATGGAACTTCTTCATAACTGCAATGAATGTAAGACAGACAGACCTGTACTGATTGAAGGTTATCTCTAAATCTCATGTGCTCATACT